TCTAAAATATTAATATGCCCTTGAGTGTAGAGTGATTGTAACCTTGACACATTAGGCAAATGAACACAGGTACTTAAGTGAAAATGTATTTTTAGAGTATAAGTCAAATGAAAATCTGACCTCATTCAAACAGTAACTAACACTATTTTAAAAACAACACATTTTATAAAAAGCAATGTGAGTATATGTGTGCATGTGTGTGGACAGTGTATACGTGGTGTGTGTGTATGTGTGTGGTGTGTGATGTACAGGTGTGTGTGATGTGTGCATGTATATGGTGTATAGATGTGTGTGTGGTGTGGTGTGCATGCAGTGTTGCGTACAGATGTGTATGCGAGATCAAGTGTGTGGTGTGGTGTGTGTGTGTGTGTAGCATATAGGTGTGTGTGTGTGGTATGGTGTATAGGTGTGTGCAGTGTGGTGTACAGGGTGTGTATGTGTGTTGTATAGTGCACAGGTGTATGTGATGTGTGTGTGTGTTGTGTAGTCTACTTCAGTGAGGTAGCACAATTCTTAAAAAGCAATGAAATAGACCTTCTATAAATTTTTGTTGATAGCAGAAAGGGAAGGAATAAAAGGGCAAGAGAAGGAAGGAAAGGAGATGGGGAAAAGAAAGAGGAAAGCTCGTGTCTTATTCCCTGTTTACAAAATTCTATCATTTGTTTTTGAATTAGACCAATTTAAAGAACTGAACATTTCCTTTCAGGGAAGGAAAAAGGACCTTCTAGCATTCTTCTCCATGATTATATACAGTATACAACATTTCTGTAGACTTGAGATCCAACGGAATAATATTAAATGGTCTAACTACTATGTACTGAATTCCTTAACATTTTTTTCTTTAAATATGGCTCCAATGTTTCATATTTATCTACAACAGCACATTAGTTGTTAATTTGAGCAGGGTAGGCTTCCGGTAAAAACCCAATTAATATCTTCCATTAGAAAAGTTGCAAGGAAAATTAAATGTTTGAACCCCATTAAAAGAATACAACTAAAAGATTAAACTGGCCGAGGCATCTTTTGTGGAAAAAGAAGAGATAAGACAAAGAACAAATTTTTATGCAGTGTCTATTACGTGGCAAACAATGTTACATATACCATTTCATTTAATTCATATGGTAACTTCTAAGAAAGGATACAATTACTAACCCAACATACAGATTATGAAAAGCAAAGAAATTAGGTAATTAGCCTAGCCCACGGTCACACTGCTGGTTAGACCTCAATCACGCTCACTTTCCTTTACTCCAAAGCACATTCTCTTTACACTTTATCACACTAACAGTTTTCCAAATTGGGATGCTGGTGATGAAAAGTAATACTGTGAACTGTCCTTCAATGGGATATTTTTTTAGCTTGCACTGTCGGCTTCTGAACTGAGTCATCTTTCTTATACATCTCTGCCAAGTAAGCATCAAGGCACAGTGGAGAATATAACCTCCATTACCTCTCCGTCAGTTAATAGCAACTCTATTTCTAAGAAAGGGAAATTTTAGCACAAAACCCATGTATCCACCCTAACTGCTGTGTCAAACCACATGGCTAATTTTCCTTTTAGTTTTTGCAAGTAGGCTTCCTTAGTTCTTCAGTAAATGAGACTCTCAGTAGGTATAGAACTTTGGCCCCTGAGCAACAAATAGATGGGGTGAAAGGAAGGGAGAGAAAGACGCATGAAGAAAAGGAAACTCAAGAGGTGATGAAAATTTATGAAAGCAAGTGAGAACAGGACAGATAAGGAAGGAAAAGAGGAGGAAGAGTTGTCTTCACAAAGCACAAAAAAACTCCCAGTCTTATTGTGGCCGTGAATCGAGTTTTCATGTGACCCCTATTTCCTTTCCTGTATAATCACTTCTCAGTTTGCAGGCTCATGTCTCCATCTGTGGAGTTGCTGGTTCACGGTTACATACAGTCCCAGTGTTGAAAAACAAGTCATCCGCCAGTTTAAATATTTTTGACTCATTGACTGAATTCTTTTACTAGGAGTGCATGTTGCGATGAAAGGCCAGGCTTTTGTTGTTTTTAGAATACCTACTCTAGCTGTACATGCAACTGTATTATTCGATAACTATCATTTTTCAGCTTGCTATCATGAAGTACTAACTTGATGGTGGTATATACTTTTATATCAAAAAGTATTAAGATTATGAGGAGGGAAACACACAATCTCAAACCTTAAGGGGTTTGTCATGAAAACGGAGATATCCATGTCTTTTTCCCAACCAGAAACAGATTTTATTTCCATAGTTTAAGGTAACCACTCACATTCATGTTCATACCCTTCCTGAGCACCTTTCACCCTGACAACTCTAAAAATATGGGATGCGATCGACAGTCTTGTCACAAAATAAGCCAAGTGCCCAAAAGTGTTGGCTTAGAAGGGAGGATGATGAAGACCGGTCTGTTTGTTCTACCATTCATACCTACAAACCTTAAATTTTAATAAATAATAACAGCAGTAATTATGTCAGTTAGCAATTACTTATTACATATCAGAAACTGTCTGAAGTACTTTGTCTGAAATACCTCAGTTTTTCTATACAATATAATAATTCTATAAGGTAGGTGCTATTATTAACCCCTTTCTACCAGTGAGGAAGATGATGCAAAGGTACCCTGGAAAAGGAACTTGCCCAAAGTTACACATAGGGCATTAGCCAAGCTGCGATGTAAATACTAGATATTCTGACTTCAAAGCCCTGCTGCACTTCATTACTGGTCCCACTTGGACACAGTGGAAATTGTCAGAGTCCTTCCAAGACCACGCCTCACTCGACAGGACAGACTTTCTATACAAGCTGGGGAAAGAGGTCAAAGGAAAAGCTATTTATCTCCACTTCAGCTAGTACTTGCTATGCAGGTTTCAAGCTTCCCGATGACTTTTTCAAGAAAACAATGATCTGCCTAGGAAGGAAAATTACATGTAAAACATTCATGTATTTTTCACAATTAACATTCAAATATGTCTTCCTTGGCTCTATATTACGATCTCTGCCAATATCCAATTAAAATGAGTACCAGTTTCCATTAGCCTCAGGTAAGTAGATCTTCTTGCGACAGGTGTGCTGACAAAGCCCTCAGTTGGCTTTATGAATACCTCAAACCTCCAACAACTGAGGCGTATTATTTTTCCTTTAGAAAATTCACTATATGTCTACTTAGACTTGCCTATGAAGTCAGATTACACACTTTTTTCATAAGGAAATATTTACACATAAATACATAAAGATAGAAATAAATGAAATGGAAAGTTCAAAATCCCACAATTAAATATGTCTGTGAGCCATTATTTTGAATATGCATAATCTGGGCTTTCCCTGAAAGTACACGATGGATGGTTACCGCCCTCTTATTTAGGAAAAGTTCTACATGATTGTGTAATGGTAACATCTGTGTTTCAAGCACATCTAATTGATCCTAATAATTGCATCTATCATATATTGAGTACCTAGTCTTTTCCAAGCAGTTTTTAAGTTATGAAATACCTGTAATCAGTATATATTTTAACAATAAAAAGCTTTTGTAACTATACGTCATTCATGTTGCCTGAATCCTTACATTTTCACTTCATACCTGTCTCTGCTTTGCTTTTAAGCATGCGCTTTATTTCAACGTGTGTTGCTTGTCCTTAAATAAGACAAAAGAATCCATGAGTGCAAAGCCCAACAATGACCTATCTTTTCATCAGTGTTACTGAGCGACCCAACTCTAGGGAGATACTGTTCTCTTGTCACTCGTCACTCAAGATGCATACAGGTCTTCTAAGGCTTCCCCACCAAAGTGGCAGAGAAGATTGCAAATATGGCACCGAAATATCTGAGGGCAATCTAACACGGCCTGACATCAGCATTCTAGTCTATGATACAGCCATGTTTGTTTTTACTGTAAACATGAAATGGTTTTCCTTCAGAATCTATATGCAAAAGTGCATATTGCATGAATGTGCCCTACATTTGTGCTCAGGCTTACACAGCCCCTGACACACTGCTGTACTCCTACAAGACCTTAGTCAGAAAGTATGGAATGTGTATCCGTTTTTATTCTAAGGGACAATGATTTGTAGCTAATTGCATGACCAGGGGTAACTAACACTATTACCGCTTAATTATCTGACACAAATGTCTACCCCTCAATTCTCCCAGAGCAGATATAAAACAACCTTCCCCAAAGTGAACTCCTTCTCTCAAATGCCTTCCATATCATAAAATGATAATGAATTACCCTAAAAAAAATCCGAAGACCAAATAGAATGCCTTTTTGGGAAAAAGTACTGATGCTAACCCAGGTTTAGCTAGATGGATATTAAAGTGTGAGGGTGTATAGAATCATATTCCTTACCTGGAACTTACTTTTTACTTTTACATCTTTCCTAATTCTAGGACATAAATCTTCCCTGAGAGCATTAATGCTCTTCTTTTCATTCTCTCATTTCTTCTATTCCTTTCTTATTTACATTGTCTAGCACAGAGAAACTACAAGGCTCTACTTAACCGCTAAGTGACTCTAGTCTAAACTTCTTTTTCAATTTCATGCTTCAAATTCTATAAAGTTAATAGTGTCTTGTTTCTTCTATAAGCTTAAAATAATCTTTAGAGTTTACTTTAGGAAGAGATTAGTATGGCAATAAGGAGACAGCAAAATATGGGACAGAAGTTCAGAGGACTGGGTTTGTCTGGTCCTTATATCTGTTAATATTTGTATCTGGTTTCCTCAACTATGAGATAAAATCAAGAATAATGTACACTAACTTTCCTTGCAAATACTGCAATTTGAGTTAATTTAAAAGTTGAGTTCTTTTCAGCTTCTGGGTTCGCTTCTTGATTGAACCACATGGCTAAAATACCTCGGGTAATAAGACTTCAAATCTAGCAGGAGGGTTTTTCAGAAAAAATAAAACTTTTCCTGACAATCATGATATCATGCTGAAAGCTTGTGTGTATAGAGCCTATATCTTCCTCCAAACACAGGGTAAGTACCAACACTAAGCATGGTGTCCTCACCAGGGTCAGGAGGCACACAGGCACAGGAAAACTGAGTATTGTAGCCCACTTTGAAGTTGGAGTTGATGGGGTAGTAGTCAGCTAGCTTGATCATCTTCTTGAAAGCATCGTAGATAAAGATGAAGCTAATCAGAGAAGAGAAGCCCTCTTCTGTGAAGCGAGTGAAGTACTGAACCAAGAAGCTGGCATCTGTGGCTACCAAAATGAGACACAGGAAGGCTGACCACAGGCCAATCCAAAGGCGAAACTCCAGATAGTCAAAATTATGATCCCTGGAAATAAGAAAGAGAGGTATTTTAGACTCCTCCTCCACGGAATACAAAGAGTAACATAAAACTACCCAATGACAGCAGAATGATTCCTAAAAATACAGGGTGACTTTTAGCCACTAAATATAAATCTCATTCCTGATTTTAACCAGAAAAATACTAAGTCTAAGGATTTAGTCTAGTGATATTAGTAAAGAAATTATCCAGAAAGTTTAAGTACGGCACATCAAAAGTAGTCATACCATTTGCATGTATATAACTCAATTTTCTCATTCAAACAATATGATCCCTGCCTTCATGGAGTTTAGAAAGCAAACAATTTGAAAGTATCACCCAGTATGCACTCAATTAATGTTTGTGAGCTTCACTGGTTAAAGAAGACACTAAGATAAATATATTCTCTGTCCCCACATCATAGCCATCTATGGAGCAAGCCAAACTGGCAAACATAATCACACCAGAAAACAGTAAATGATATCTAAAGGTTCCCACAGAGTGCCACAGAGGAATAACTAACTCTGGCTGGGGGTTGTAGAAAAAATTCCAGGTATTTAAGGATAAATAGGATAATTACACTCTACTCGGATCAAGACAGGCTGTCTTCCCATGTAACAGCCAGATGAAACCCCTTCTTGTGAAGCTTCTTCACAGACATGGTATCCTTCTGCTGAAGTTGTGTGTAAAGCACCTTGTGACCACCTTGTTTGTTTTTGGTCTGTTCCTGTCCCAAGGCAGCTTAGAATAGGCTGTGCCTCCATCAAAGGAGGCCAATGTTTTTCAAAGCCCTTTCTATTTCTTATAAGTAAAAGGTGAAAGATTTATGCGATCTGAAGAGAAACCAGAGTATTCTATTTCTTATAAGTAAATTAGCTCACATTTAGAAAAATATGGGCCAAGTGCTGACATTTTACCATTTCATGTTAATTCTTTTAAAATTGTGTTAAGATTACTTTACAGTATTTTTCTCATCATTGTTTTTTAAATTTTTTAATGCTCATTTACTTACTTTTGAGAGAGAGAAAGAGAGCACAAGCAGGGGAGGGAGAGATAGAGAGAGAGGGGGAGACACAGACTCCAAAGCAGGTTCCAGGCTCTGAGCTGTCAGCACAGAGCCCGATACAGGGTTTGAATTCACAAACTGTGAGATCATAACGTGGGCCAAAGTCAGATGTTCAACCAACTGAGCCACCCAGGAGCCCCTTTTTCTCATCATTTATGATGAAAAAGCAAACAGTAGTTGTCCTATTTCTTCTACGAGAAAAAGAAATAAATTGAGGATCATGCACACTTGAGACTCTATAGCCTTGATTTTAAACAAGTAGTTTTTACAGATGTGTTTTAATATTTTCCTGAAGGCATGGTATCAACACCTTCACCATGACTAATCTAGTTTGAGCCACCAAGAAGTCTTTGCTTGATTTTAAGTCCTTACTGATATCCATGTTTGTCCTGCTCTAAGCCACTTTCCACATTATAGCCAAAATGATCTTTTTAAATGTAAATCAGATCCTCCCTACCTCCTTTTAAAACTTTTTGATGGCTTCACACTGCTCATAGAATAAAATTCAAATTCTCTAACACAATGGCTGGCATATAAAAGGTTTCCAATGAAAGTCTGCCAGATGAATAAGGGCATGCCTATGGCTTTGAAGAAGACAGTTACTGACATGACCTAAGCATTCTCACAGAGAGCCAGGAGATCCTGAGTGAAAATTTCATAGAATATTAGAATTAAAAATTCCTTAGATACTGTGATGGTTAATTTTATGCATCAACTTGGCTGGATCATGTGGTACCCAGATATTTGGCCAAACGTTATTCTCGATATCTCTATAAGAATGAGTGCAAAGAAATTAACATTTAAATTGTTAGGCGGGTGCGTGAGTGGCTCAGTCGGTTAAGTGTCCAACTTTGGCTCAGGTCATGATTTCACAGTTCGTGGGTTCGAGCCCTACGTCAGGCTCTGTGCTAAAGGTTTGCTCAGAGCCTGGAGCTGCTTTGGATTCTGTGTCTCCTTCTCTCTCTGCCCCTCCTCGCATCACACACTCTCTCACTCTGTCTCTTAAAAATAAATAAATGTAAAAAAATTTTTTTTTAAATTGCTAGGCTTTGAATAAAGCAGATTGCTTTCTATAATGTGGGTGAAATTCATCTAATCAAGTCCTTCAACTGAATAGAGCAAAATACCTGCCAACCCCAGGCAAGAAAAAATTCTCCAAGCCTTTGGACTTGATCTTGAACATGGCTTTTTCTGTTTCTACAGCAGATAGTCTTTGAAACATCAGCTCTCCTGGGTCTCCAGCCTGCTAGCCCAACCCACAGATTTTGGACTTGCTGGTCTCTATAGTCATGTGAGCCAGCTCCTTATAACAAATCTCTTTATTATATTGGTCCTGTTTCTCTGGAGAATCTTAATATAGATTCCAATTAGTCAACTATGTCTCATTTTATAGATGAGGACACTAAGGCCAAAGGAAGTTAAGGTTTATCCAATGCCAAGGTTTTAATGGCAGAGATGGACCAGAAACCAAATCTCTGCATGCTTGGATTCGTCCTTTACAAAATAATACCATCATTCCCCTATCAGAGTTGTATTTAGGGCGGACCTTAAATCACTGTCCTTTGTTTCCCTCTTTTCACCAAATCACCTAAATTGGAATATATTACCTAAGCAGGCGATAATTAATACTTGGGTAGAAATTTATTCCTATGGATTTCCTGGAATCCTTCTCTCTTTTAAAAAAATTTTTAATGTTTATTTTTGAGAGAGAGAAAAAGAGTGCAAGTGGGGGAGGGGCAAAGAGAGAGGGAGACACAAAATCCGAAGGAGGCTCCAGGCTCTGAGCTGTCAGCACAGAGCTTGATGTGGGGTTTGAACCCACAAACCGTGAGATCATGACCTGAGCTGAACTCAGACGCTTAACTGACCGAGTCACCCAGGCTCCCCAATCCTGGAATCTTTCTGAAGACATCTTTTGCATTCCCTTACAGTTGCCCTTAGGTCTGCAATCCCACTGCTTAATCCTATACTTGTCTCTGTGAGATAAGTAGCCTATAGAAAAACTAAACTCTAGGAATCTGAGGTAATTTACATGATCACACAATGAATGAAGTCTCAGAGTCAGGGCTAAGAAACAGTTTCATTACTTCTGAGCCAACAAACTTTTTTCCTAAAATAAAAGTTTTAAACAATTACTTAGTTTTGCTTCCCTAGCAAGACGACAGGGCAATCTTGATTTGTTCTAAGTATGCTAATGGTTGTTTAGAGAATTGATGTTTATAGGACAGGATGAGAAACAAATCCAATAACTAGCTAATGGTTAGGAACACTCAGTTTGAGCACAAAAGAAAAATGCCTATATAAACTTAAATCTTAGGATCCAAACAATATACCAAAATAGCTGCTCTAAAATACTTAAATATTCCCAGAGTAGCTCTATAAGAAGGGCCCACATAAAATCACTAAAACCAACGGCACTTCATTATAAAAGTGATATGTTTACAGCAGCAAGAAGAAAGAGGAATAAGAGATGAGAAACTTTTTAAAACAAATTGATCAACAGTAATGACTACAATAAAGTGGCAATATTATATCCAATAAGACTATGAGTCCCTTTAGTGCCAAGTTTAAATAGCAATTAAGTTATAAAAAGTAACAGTAAATGATAGTAGAAACCAAAGAAACTATGGTGAATTCGAATGAGAAAATGGGTTTATATCCTTATGATACCACAGTGTTCCCAGATATTTTGAGTTATAGTTTCTGAGTAGCATAAAACCAAGGTATAGACAAACAGAAGAACTCATCAGAAGCATGCTATAGAAATTAATGTTCAAGTCACTGACAAATGTAAACTCCCTAAACGATATGAATAAATCCAATAACAACAGAAGAAAATAATCTTTTGAAGGCCTCTAAGTAATTATTCAAAGAATAGAAGGAAAAAATTATTGAATGACTAAATGCAATTATACAGGCTAAAATCCAACTTTAATTAGGAGGTTTCTGCATGGCTTAGAACATAGTGTTAAAACTTTCAGGAGTGCCTGGTGGCTCAGTCAGTTAAGGATCTGACTTCAGATCAGGTCATGATTTCACAGATCCGTGGGTTCAAGTCCTACGTGGGGCTCTGTGCTGACAGCTCAGAGCCTGGAACCTGCTTCATATTCTGTGTCTCCCTCTTTCTTTGCCCTTCCCCCACTCATGCTCTCTCTCTCCCTCTCAAAAATAAACAGACATTAAAGAAATTTTTAAAAAACTTTCAGAGTTGTCACGCAAGATAAAGAAAAGGTGTCTAATTCTCTGTCACTGGTTTACAATGTGTAAAAACAGTGCAAAGGAGATTGCAGAATTAGGGTGAAAAGCTACAATTGTCATTTGGACAGTTGTAGGCTCTTTCTTTCATTCTGTTACTAATTTTAAAAGGTGACAGCACATCTTTCATATTCCATTATGATTCTCCAGTACGTAGGACAGATATTAAAACCTGTCCTCCACATCAGAGGGAAATCTGTGGATTATGTAGAGTCATGCTTGAGTCTACTAAAGCCACAAAACAAAGTTTACCTACTTCTCAAAAAAACATAACATATTTTGGGGGGAAATCTGGGCAAGACAGACTAAAGCAGTTTCTTTACTAAAGGACTTCTCAGATCCCTTAGTAAGCTGAATGTAAAGTGAGTTACAAAGAGGGAGGTAAAATATACAGCATTTGTCAGATTGATGGGGATCACAGAGGCTTTTTTCTATGAAACGTCTAAATGGGACTAGTAATTGAGGAAACACACTTTGAGAAACAGTGATCTACACAAATACTCTGCATCTAGACAAAATATTAGTACTGTTGTTAAAACACAGAAGCCAATGATACAGCATTGTGAACAAAATGACACCGTGTGCCTCAAAGCACCACATGCTACTCAGTGATGAATTTAAAGCACAGTTTCTCAAATGTTTCTTGTTGCTTTATAACTGTTTTCAAATAAATTACTTGGAACTATGTTTACATTACCAATTATGATGAAACAGAAAGAAAAGTGAGAAAGGAACTTGCTTAGTGAAAGGAAATAATCTCTATCCTACAATTATCTAAAGTAAACTGGGATGCAAACATTATCTGTATATTAAGGCTCTGATCACATTGCATCCAATAAATCTTTCTGCAAAGGTTGCACATGTTTGTTCCTGTTTATAGTACACGCTTGTTTGATCTTCCCACAAAGGCTTTCTTTTCTCACACAATGTTTTCTTAAACATATAAAAATGATTTGACTTTCTATAAACTGACATGAACAGAAATTCTTTCCAGTGTCCTTCTGAGAATTATGATGGAGGAGGGATCTGTAGTGATGAGCTACAGAAAACTCACATTATCACTTTAAATTCTCATAAGACCTCGCTGATGTTCTCAACCCAGTTTTCAAAACACTAGTTTTAAATTCTCATTGCCTCCTCTAGCTTGTGATCAGTTTTGATGGTAACACATGGTAACACAGTTTCAAAGGCTATTCTATCAGCCCTTGAGTCCATGAGGTATCATGTGGTAACAAAATTTCCAACAAGGAAATCTTAAAAATGTATAACAATATAAGAATATGAAAATTCCAACAAGGAGTGCCAGCAAGTCATAAGAAATTCTGCCATCTGCCTAAGGATTGAGATCTGCTGGGAAAGGCAATTCTCTCTGAAAGGTATCAAGTTCATTAGAAAAGAGGCCAGAATACCCAATTTGATTTTGAAGCTATTTGTGTGCTTATGTGGCCACGTGGATAATTCGCTTAACTTGATTTTCTCCTTCTTAAAATGATCCTTCGAATTCTAAAAGAAAATATGATATCACAATTGTTACGTCCATTAGGAGTGTATAGTAATTCCGTAAGAGGCATAGTCTCCAGAATCAGAAAGTAGGAATTCAAATCCCAGTCCCACCAACAACTGGTAACGGAGCCTACAGCAAGGCACTTACCTCTCTCTGCCTGTTTTCTCATCTATAAAACAAGGTATGAGGGCACCTGGGTGGCTCATTTGGTTAAGCACCTAACTCTTGATTTTGGCTCAGATCATGATCTCACGGTTCTGAGACCAAGGCCCCACTCGGGCTCTGCACTGAGCATGGGATGGGGATTGCTTGGGATTCTCTCTCCCCAACCCCTCTCAAAAATAAATAAACATTTAAAAATAAAAATAAAAATAATAATACAGGTATGGGCCCTACCTCATTATACTGCTACAGGAATCAAATGAGGGAGCCCATGGAATGCACTTAGGATAATATTTGGTATGTGATCAATACTCAACAAATGCTATTACTAAGCCAGCTCTTGAAATGTATCTTTAGTTAAGAACACTGGAGCCAGGGTTAGGAGCAGTGGATCTCTAGAACAACTAGTCTCTCATTAACGAGCCATGTGACCTTGAGCAAGGCATTTCATGTCTTATAGGCCAGGATCATGACAGGAAACAGAAGACATTCTCAAATGGGATTGTGAGGAAAACTTAATAAATAGGCTATTTACAGATGTGTGAGTAACAAATAATGGCAAAGTACTCAGGAACTAGAAACATCAGGGAGCCATTTTTATCTCCTGGCTTCAAAAGGCCGAGGAAGGAATGGAGTTCCCAGAGCCTAGTGAAGGCGAGAGCCAGGCCAGTGGGGCCACCTTACAGAGGCTCTATTCAAGAGACAAGCCACTGTGAGACTGCAGTGTTAAAACAGGGACTGTGAGGTACAGGGAGGTATACACACACCCTGACCTCCCTCCTCTCCTACTGGTGCACTAGTCAAACCCAACAAGAAGCCAGAGGGCAAAGGAGACCCAGTGTTGTAGTCCACATGGATCAGCCCCCACGGCATAAAGCAGGACTAGGACAGAGAAGAATGGTGAGGGCAAGTAGATAGTACAACATATGGGCCTCAGCTGAATCAAATGTAAAATGAGTGTTGGACTACCCAATCTCCAAGGGCTTTTCAGCCGCCAAATCTTTAAATTCCCATATTCTGTTCTACCTAATTACTATTCTGTGCTGTATCTAGACTGTGTTCTAGAATTTATCCTAATTTATAACTAGATATGTATATACATACTTGCTGAAATTGAATAGAAGCCTCTCAAAGACAAGAACAGGTCCTGTGCTGCTCAAAATCGTCAGTGGTTGACCTGCAAACAGGCAAAAGATGGCCCCAGAGACAGCTGTGCCCAGGAAGCTCTCCAACACGCCCTGATAGAGAGAGAAGAGAGCTGTTAGAAGAAACGCACCTTTCTTCCTCCCATGATGCCTCTAGGGAAATTAAGCACACGGATATGCTATTACAAGGGCCATACCAAACATAGCAAACAGACGCAAAGGACTGAGATTCTTACCAGTATGAATATCACCGTTTATTTCACATATGATTTAGTCACCCCTCCCTACTGCAAGGGCTGACTTGCTCCAAAAAAACTACAGTAACTATAATGACTGGTGGTTGACTACAGAAGGCAAAAGGTGACTCTGATCCATTCTAAAAATACTAATTGAAGCTTCTGTATGGAAAACCACATTATGTAATCCCACCAAGTGGGCAGAAGTGATTTAGTACTTTGGGTGATGTTTTTCTCTCTGTGGTTAACTTCAGTGTTTGCTTCAGCCTGATCTCACCCTGCACCTAGCAAGTACTTACAAGTAGTTACATTTTATGCACAAAGACTATTTTTTTTAAAGGAAAGATCTGAGAGGGGAGAAAAGAAGACACAAAGAGCTATTTCCCTTCATCCTGCAATCTCTAACACACCAATTCCAAAAAAATAAAGAAAAAAAATCTTATTATATATTCCTCATCTAATGTAAATTTATAGAAGAGCTTTAATTTATTTTAGAGGAAATGCATGTGGAGGGACATGAATAACTAAATCTTTATGGCCACACTTCCCTGTACTTATATCTCTGGAAACCCAACCCATTGTTTTCCTTTAGTCTAAGAACAAAGAAAGATGAACCATCAAGTATCACTGACTTATAAGATTATCCTAACTTTCTTAATAATGTCATTTGGGACCAATGCCTCAGGTGATGGCAAACTAGCTCATTTCCTCTATTTCTCATAGTCCAAATTTTAGTTAGAAAAGCACTTGTTTATTTTCAATAGGATCTAAATTTGAAATAGTATTATATTTTAAATATAAAAAGGTGACAGAGACCCTTTAATCATATGTAGGAGTATACATCTAAACCATAAACATTGTAAGATAAACATTTTTCAAATGAGTAAATAAACATAATCTATAACTTTAAAAGACACACACACACACACACACAAACATATATATATTTTTTAATGGTAGGTCAATTTACATCATAGAGCAAAATTATGTGATCTCTATAATGCTATGTGTACACTAAAACAAAATGATGCCAGGAAGATCTCCCCTTTCAAGTGGGTAACAAATTACCTGTTCACAGAAGTATGATGTGTGTTTACATAAAGCAAGCCATCTCTTAATCTAAACCACTCTCTCTTTGGAGCAGACTGGATTTCTGGGTAATCTGTAATACCCCTCAGTGATTCCCTGCCCCTTCCCCCCACAAAAAGTTAACCTATCTGCCTGTGAGCCTAAGGCACCTCTTTCTACTGCCCCAAAAGTTCTCCAGCAAATTTCATTCACTCATCATATAATATAACAAAAGGATTACACAGAAATTGTTTTTTTTAATCAAGTTACAGGTATGGAATGAATAAGTCACAGGAATAAAAGGCACAGCATAGGAAATAATAGTTAATGACATTGTAATAGCACTGTATAGTGACAGATGGTAGCTAACTTGTGGTGAGCACGACATAACACAGAGAAGTTGAATCACTGTGTTCTTTCAAGAAGTGGAAGTAACATAAAATAGTATCTCAACTACACTCAAACAGAAAAGGTTTAAGTAATAAACGTCTGAATGACAGAAGTAAAAAAAAAAATCAACTTACAGAACTTAAAGACACCAAGTGCTATACCCACTCAAGAGCCATCCTAAGAGACTCTTATTATAATGATTACCCACAATATTTTTCACATTGCATCAGAGCCACCAACATTCTGCTTAAAATGGCACTGGCAATAGCACATCCTCTTCTTTGAAGGGTGGCATTCAATTCAGAAAGCAGATAAAAATCCTTTAAAACAGCACCATGTACTAATCGGACTGGGGTGGGTACAGGGCAAAATAACAAGGGTTGACAAGTAAGACTAGCTTCTCACACAGTGAGTATCCATATTCTGAAACAACCCGGAACTACTTCTGTCTGAGAAGTCCAGGCTGAAATCTGGTGGGGGGAGAGGGAACCCTATTTCCATGGCTGTGAGCTCTACTGCATGACTGAAGAATGCCATCTCAGTATTTTGTAGCCATTCCACACACAATCTTTTTCAGAAAGAATGAAGAATAACACGCTAGGCTGGCAGAACCAGCCTGCATTTATGCAGACAAGACAGTCCCTTGTGCCCAACAAATAGTTTTGATCGCTTACATGTGAAGATATTGAGATTCAGGAGAGTTAAGTGATATAAACAAGCTCATGTTCAATGTGGCACAAGTCTTTGGAGTGTGGGTACCTGCCCAACCACTACCTCACCCAGAGCAAGGATAAAAGTATGCTGGCTTCAGCTGGTGTTTTCTTGGACGTTTTTTTACCTCCTGTGCATTGACAATGTTTTTTTTTTTTTTTTAATGTCTTTATCATTTATCTTTCTTTTTCATGACTTACTTTAGTGTGTGTAACATGAAAGGGTAGAATTGGAATGCTCTATGTGGTGGGACAAGCCACATTCTGCTTGTTTGGTGATAGGCAGAATTATACTGCATCATTCTTTACCGAGCACAGAGAAGGGCCTATTTCTCAAAACTACTTCAGGATCAAAATACAGCACAGCCTCGGTGTGAGACAGCACAGGAAGGAAGAAAGAAGAAATGCAAGATTAAGAATTCTCTACTTGATTTGCCATCACTATCAATCTCTCTGAGGGCCAAGCACAGGGTCTCCGGGGGCCTTCCTATTTTCCTTCCTCTCACTGAGGTTTGCACTATACCTCCATATGCTCTGTAGGCATGCAAGAAATGCTAAAGGAATCAAAGAAGAAATACCCAAATCATACCCTAGCTTCCACTTATCAAAGGTCAACAGCCGCTGTTGCTCATTCAGTAAAGATAACAACGAATTTCTTCCAGAAAATGGCTTTGATTTACAGAAACCATGTGACTGTTAAAAGGCAGATTATTTTTATTTCAGTACTTGATCCTTTGGTAAGTGCTACAGTTTCCATTCTGTTGCTGACAATTTTGAAACAGAGACAGGTGATTTATTATACACACTGCACTGGAAACTTGCTTATACTTAGAGATCCTTGCAGCATTTCTGAGAAAAGAACTATTTTCACCAAGTTTTGATTTGTTACTCTTGATAATACAGAAATGTAAAAAATAAACTCATGTGATGAATAACTGCAGTTTAACTAACAAGCATTTAAAGCGATTTATAAGTTGAACTATCAGAAATCCTTTTCTGATTTATTATATTCAGGATTCACGAATATAAAAAAAGAGAAAAGAATGTGTGGGTGTGTGAATTTTTAATAGGTATAACTCATAAAGACACGTCTACCCCCAGTTTCTCCCTGCCTCCATTATTTCTCATTCAACCCATGAGGACATGCGTGTGGCTAAGCTCTGAGGAGTGGCAGAACCAGGTGGCACAATGTTACAGCTCCATTTTGGTTAGGTTTTGACTTCACTCCATTTCTGATCAAGTATCACCCACTGTAGAACAAGAGGATGAACAAAGAACCAGTAGTCAGGAAATCCAGAGTCTAGACTTTGCTCTGTCACTGGAGAACTGATGATCTTGGGAATGTCACCTCAAGTTTGTCAATTTTAGTTTCTTCATGTAGAGGAGAAACATCAAGATGGTAGAGGATAACAATGGACTCTGGAATCAAAGAAATCTCAAAGTGACATCCAGATTGTGCCATTTACTCAATCAATGACTAAGCAAGTTACTTAATCTCTGTCTTATATAGTTAGCATGCATATTAGATAACACATGAAAAATGTTTAGTATAGTCTCTGATATATGCTATCTTTTTTATAAATAGTAACATGTACACAATGTGTTTGTTTAGATATAAGATGGGAAGTTGAACTAGCTGATTTCCACCATCTCCTCCAGGTGGCTCAGCACAAACAGCATGTCTTGGAGCCAAGGACATCAGAGTCAAATCTCAGGTCTGCCAGTCACCAAACCCTCTACATGCTAATTCTCTCTTCTGTAAAATCAATTGCTATTTCACAGAATAATTGTTTGGACTAAGAAAGACAATAAAATAGAAAGAACTAAGAACAGAGACACAATACAATGTTTTCTTTCCTTCACTGCTTCTCATCTCCTTCTTCCCAGCCTGCCTAAATTATTTCTCTTTTCTTCGAAAGAGGGAAACGATGGGAAGAGAAAGTTGAGAGGAGAGACAAAAGAAAAGACGAAGATTAGTCCTCAGAGGGAAGGGGTGGGGGGACTCTTTAGATCTCCAGTATTTCTCAGAGCAAATCCTAAATCAACAGAGACCTTAGGGGGCAATGCTACAGCCATTGCTTCTTTGCATTCTTTGTGTTACTAAACACATGGAATCAGCTATAATAAAACAGAATAGTTTGTTTTACTTTATAGCAGTGAAGTCAACACCCACAACAATGTATGAACAATTTTCTGCTTACATCAGGGTATGCTGTTAAACCAAAGATGGGACTTGTTTGGCAAAACAGCCAAGAAAATCAGCACAAGTCCCACAATAGAAAGATCAAGCATAAAAGAAGTTGGACCATAGGAACAAGATTCTTAAAAAAAAAAAAATTCAGCCATAATTGGTAACACCAGCATTTTAGGTGTTCGAACTACCTGTGACAAGGGTCGCCAGGGCCATCATGTCTATCATTGCTAATGTAAAATAAGCACATTCAAAATATAATAAAATGTTAAAAATTAAAAATTTACACTGTCAATTTTGACTTCACTGCAACTATCTTCGTATAACACTAAAGGATGGCCTATCTTGTTTTATGTCCTTTTTATGAAGGAATTCATTATTTAGAATAATAATCACAACTGTTCAGGGGGGTTGGATGGCAGTAATAGGAGGAAAGTGACACAATTGCCCAAGAAAACAAAAAATTTTCTATTACTTTGACAATTTTCAACCAAGTCA